ATAGCCACACGGAAAAATAAAAGCATTCTTATTCAAAACTGTGGGACGTAAGCACTTTTAAGGTCTACTTATAAATTCTAATTTAGGGGAAACTCCCAACGAGTGTTGCATCACACACACGAGTGTACGCAATATTTAAGGCAGTGTTACACTATGCAACTTTCCTTACAATTTGCAACGCAATTGTCGAGAATGTTTGCCCCAAAAACTATGTCTTTAATCAATTTATTCCTGTCGCTGCCAGAACGTGAGCATTTATATGGTCTTTTACTGGTAAAATCTGTCTGTATTTTCAATAGAAAACGCCGACCTTCAATTTATAAAAAACGTTCCAAGAGCTGTTTGTGGCAATAAAGTTGGGAATCCTTCGAATGACATATGTTGTGATGGTGAGTTGCACCTGAAACAATATGGACATAGCTCTGGATGCTGTGGTAAGAACGCGTATAATACTGAGAGTTATGTCTGCTGCCAGGAAATCGTGGCTCCTAAATACAGTACAGGAGTAACCAAGTGCTGCGGTACCAAGTCATATGATGCTGTCACGAAACTATGCTGTGATTCAAGGTACATTCATCCAAAATCTGCTGGTGCATCAACTCAGTGTTGCCAACAACACGCTTACAACAGCGATGTTTCAGTTTGTTGCGGGGGAGAAGTGGCAGATAAAATAGCAGGTAATCTTACTCAATGTTGTATGAAAAAAAGCTATGACCCCGAACTTTCCCTCTGCTGTAATGGGAAAACAGTTGACATGCCTTTTAATAGTTTCCAATGCTGCGGGGAAATGTCTTATGATGTAAAAACGTCGGTCTGCTGTAACGGATATATCGCAGCGAAATTCCAAGGAAACTCTACATTGTGTTGCGGTAAGGAAAGCTATGATACGACGTCATCTCTCTGTTGCCAAGGCAAGGTAGTTCAGAAATTGGGCGATGTGGGTCAGTGTTGTGGGGAAACATCATATGACTCCGAAAGCTCGGTATGTTGTAACGGAAATGTCAAGGCAAATGTCGCAGGAAATTCAACATTATGTTGCGATAATGACAGCTATGATCCAGCACTGTCTCTTTGTTGTCAAGGCAAAGTTGTTCAGAAATTGAGTAGCGTTGGCATGTGTTGTGGAGAGGCATCGTATGACTTCAAAACGTCGGTCTGTTGTAGTGGACACATCAAGACAAAACTCGCAGGTAATTTAACTATGTGTTGTGGCGGGGAAAGCTACAATTCAGCCACAGATCTTTGCTGCGAAGGACATCTTGTTCAGAAAACGAGTAACATTAATGAGTGCTGTGGGGCCATTTCGTATAATCCTGTTAGCTCGATATGTTGTGCTAGACAACCTGTCGTAAGAATGTCTGGCAATTTAACTCAATGTTGTGGTAAAGAAAGCTACAATCCAGAGGTATCGACTTGCTGTGAGACCAAAGTTGTCACGAAACAGGGCAATGGCACTCAATGTTGCAGGGATATACCTTATGACCCTACCTATTCGATCTGTTGTGCTGGACAAGTCGTTCTAAGAATGGCTGGAGCTTCAACGCAATGTTGCCGCAAAGAAAGCTACGACCCTACGTCGTCTCAATGTTGTGATGGCGTTGTTACAAGGAAACTGAGTAATGTTAGTGAATGTTGTGGTGATAAATCTCATGATCCAATAACCACGATATGTTGTGCTAAACAACCTGTTATCAGAATTGCTGGTAACCTAACACAATGTTGTGGCGATAAATCTCATGATCCAATAACCACGATATGTTGTGCTAAACAACCTGTTATCAGAATTGCTGGTAACCAAACACAATGTTGCGGTGATAAATCTCATGATCCAATAACCACGATATGTTGTGCTAAACAACCTGTTCTCAGAATTGCTGGTAACCTAACACAATGTCGTGGTGATAAATCTCATGATCCAATAACCACGATATGTTGTGCTAAACAACCTGTTATCAGAATTGCTGGTAACCTAACACAATGTTGTGGTGATAAATCTTATGATCCAATAACCACGATATGTTGTGCTAAACAACCTGTTATCAGAATTGCTGGTAACCTAACACAATGTTGCAATAAGGAAAGCTACAATCCAACGATGTTTCTCTGCTGTAAAGGTGTAACTGTCAAAAAATATAGTAAAGTTAGTCAGTGTTGTGGGGAGAAGTCCCATAACCCAATTACTTCGATCTGTTGCTCTGGACATCCAGTGGTGAGAATGGCTGGTAATTTAACACAATGTTGTAGTAGAGAAAGCTTCGATCCATCTACGCATCTCTGCTGTGAAGGCAAGATTGTCAGGAAAATAAGTGATATTAGTCAGTGTTGTGGGGATAAAGCATATAACCCCATTACTTCCATTTGTTGTAGCAGAACACCGGTTATGAGAATTGCTGGAAACCTAACTCAATGTTGCATTCATGAAAGCTACAATCCAACAACGTCCCTCTGTTGTGAAGACAAAGTAACTGCACGTTTGAATAATGTTAGTGAATGTTGTGGTTATAAATCTTATAACCCTGTAACCTCAATTTGTTGCGCTAGAGAATCTGCCGGGCGAATTGCTGGTAATTTAACCCAATGTTGTGGAAGAGAAAGTTACGATCCTGCAATTTCTAACTGTTGCGATGGAAAAGTTGTTAAAAAATACAGCAAATTCGACCAGTGCTGTGGAGATAAATCCTATAACCCTATGACCACCGTCTGCTGTGGGAGAACAACTGCAGGAAGAGTTGGGGGTAACCTAACCCAATGCTGCGTTACGAAAAGCTATGATCCAGCGACTTCTCTTTGTTGTGAAGGCAAAGTGGTTAGAAAGATTAGTGCCATCAACGAGTGTTGTGGAGACATACCCTATAACCCAATGACCTCGATCTGTTGTAATCGTCAACCTGTCATGAAAATGGCAAGAAACTATACCCAATGTTGCGCAATGAAAAGCTACGATCCAGCCATTTCTCTCTGTTGCGAAGGCAAAATCGTTAAGAAAAGGAGTGCTGTGAGCCAATGCTGTGGATATAAGCCTTACAACCCAATAACCACGATCTGCTGTGCCAGGAAAGCCGTTTGGAGAATTGCTGGAAGTTCTACTCAATGTTGCGAGACGAGAAGCTACAACCCTTCGACCACTCTTTGTTGTGAAAATAAAGTTGTCAGGAAAACGAGTGGCATCAGTGAATGTTGTGGAGATGTCGCTCATAATGCTATAACCTCGATATGTTGTGCTGGGAAACCCGTTGTAAGAATGGCTGGAAATTTAACACAATGTTGCGAGGACAAAAGTTATGATCCAGCAAGATCCATTTGCTGTGAAAACAATCTTGTTGAAAAAACAAGTGCTGTAAGTCAATGCTGTGGTGACCAATCGTATAACCCTTTATATTCGATCTGCTGCGCTAGAGAACCTGTGGTAAGAATTGCTGGCGGTTCAACTCAATGCTGCAATGATGAAAGTTACGATCCAGCAATATCTCTCTGTTGCGAAAACAATCTGGTAGAGAGACTGAGCGCTTTTAGTCAGTGCTGTGGAGATAAAGCTTATAACCCCACCCAATCGATTTGTTGCGACAGAAAACCCGCGGTTAGAGTGGCTGGTAAATCTACCCAATGTTGTCTCGATAAAAGCTACGATCCCGCACCGCATTTATGTTGTGAAGGCAATGTTGTTGAAAAATTCAGTGCTGCTAGCAAATGCTGTGGAGATAAAGCTTATAATCCCATCGAATCGATTTGTTGCGACAGAAAAACCGCGGTTAGAGTGGCTGGTAAATCTACCCTATGTTGTCGCGATAAAAGCTACGATCCCGCACTGCATTTGTGTTGTGAAGGCAATGTTGTTGAGAAATTCAGTACCGCTAGCAAATGCTGTGGAGATAAGGCTTATAACCCTTCAATCTCGATTTGTAAAGGACGAACTTTGTTTTAGGATGCAAACAGGGTGTGTAAAAAAAGGCAATACTTAATATTCAAAATATTCGCACAATTAGGAGTGTACTATTGACAGTGCACAATATAAATAATAAGGGAGTTGTCTTTTTTATATACCCTGTATATAAAGGAATTACGGATAAATATACAGATATGTCCGATTAGGAATATATTCATAATGTATTTTCAAATGGACACAAAAAGGCCAAATTAAATTTTTTATAAACAAAATTGTAACAGGAATAGACATTTCCCGAATTTGTTCTGGGGCAATGAAAACCAGCCAATAAACAATAGATTTCATTGCCTGCCTCGTTTCCAAGCTATTGTTTTGTGTGCATTCAAGCAAATTCAGGAAGTGTCTATTCCTAATTAATTCATTCATTGAGATAGCAATTGTGAATTTATTGGAAAATATATATTCGAATATGACGCTGTATGATTCGTAATAACTTCAAATCCCATGGCTGTGTCGGCAACGAAAATTTCACTTGCTATATATAGTATGCGCTGGATAAAGAAACGTATACGGTAATTATATGAGATAAACGACTAAGTGTACTTTTCGACCCTAACAAGACATACTCTCTTTGAAACTGCCCACAAAGTCCTTTCATGATTCTATATAAGCATCGATCCACATTTGAATTTCGCTCAGTAATATCTATATACGTTACATACAAGTGATACAACGTATACTAAACTGGATGACTGCATGTGAATCTGAAATGATCTGAAATTTCTCTCTATATAGAACTGCATTTAATTTTTCCGGTCGCAGTTTCGTCCTGTTTGAGAGTCTCAAACTCGTCCGGTTCGACAGCACCATCTGATTAAGGACAACAAGCACTTTTGGAACATTTTGGCGCATGCCATTCTTTGCTGAGAACATTTCGGTTGCGGCTAAATGCATCGCCTTATCCAAATTTGCCTTCCCTCCTTTGAATGATGTTGATTATTTTTTGGAAATCTTTTTGTGACGTCGTTAAATCTCTTCACAAGCAAACTTTCGGTACCATAAACAATAGTACTGGTATGAGTGGCCCCAGACGCGACCTGGAAATATCCTTCGAGTTTTATCACAAAATCCTTTTCTTTTTCATAATTACAGTTTCGCATGCTTGCAGTGGAGTCGAGTAGAAAACCAACATCCATGTCACAAATTTCAGCTACAAAAATATATTTAAGAATTACTAAGAATTACTTGTGTTGGTTGATATGAAAATTCTGTCCAATCTCGGTGGTTGAACAACCTCCCCCCCCCGTCTGCAATCTCGTGCACATGCGTAAATTCATACTAACCGTCATCATCGTCTTTTATCCGAACTCTGGAAGGCTGGCTAACCGCTACGTGCATCGGCGAGGATAGCCTGACGGTAAATTCTTCGGTCGTTTCCTCGACATCATCATCAATCAAATCAATCACTATTGTTTTACTTTTAACTTTTTCATCAGGTTCGAATGTCACATACGTGGTAACTGGACTGAAATCACTATCATCAGCAGTTCCTTGTATTTTCTTTATTCTCTAAAAATGATTTTTTGAAAAGCTATTGTTTAAAAATTCACCATAGTAACCATAAAACCGCAATCAAAGCAGTGAACATACTTTACGCACTCGTATGCACATGCAGTAAGTCTATTTAAACATTTGGTTGGGCACATAAGATTATTACGTTACGTTAGATTTAAAAAGAAATAAATTGATAAAGAAATAAAAATCATCTCTCTCAAAATAGATAACTCACTCGACAGTAACAGGTTCACTTATTTCACCTGACGCTAATTCAACCCCAACAACGACTTTTGATATTCTTTGACATCGTACACTTTTTTTGTAAACCTGAACCCTATGACTAAAGAAAATAAGACAATTATGAGCTCGAAAACTATGCAGAATAAGTAAAAAAGCTTATGGCAAATATATAAATATAACCATAAACCAGGCACTATTCAAGTGATGGAGTTTGTAAATATATTTATGGAACTATGATTATTCATTCTTTCATAGTTTGCAACTTTACGAAAGGTATTTTTAGCAGTAGTAAGTGTAATCTAATATAGCTACATTTCCTGTGCATGTACGTAATATTATCTTCACATGTTTTCCCGTTAAGTAGGGTGCATTTTGTGACAGACAGGAGCGATGCCCTTATGAGTAACAAAATTATATATTCCTATACCGGGTGTCCCAAAAAAAACTTTACCTGTTTGTCTTAATATAACTCAAAAACGATAAAAGCCATTGAGTTGAAATAAACTCCACTGTATACAAGCAGGGCTAACTTAGATTTTGATATATAACATTAAATTATTGATGTGATATTTACGGAGATACAAGCATTTGATGTCGCAAGGTACTTTCAAAATCCGTGAAAAATTGACAAAAATCGGCTATTAAATTAATTCGAAAATACTTGCATGCCACTTCCCGTGGTAAGTTTTTAACTTCAGCGATTTTAACTTTAATTGTTCGCTCTTATATTAGAGTAAGTTTGCAATGGAAAAGCGTACATTTAAAATTAAAATCACTAAAGTTAAAAACGTAAAAGTTAAAATATTAGTTTCGAATTAATTTAATAGCCGATTTTTGTCAATTTTGCACAGATTTTGAAAGTACCTTGCGACATCAAATGCTTGTATCTCCGTAAATATCGCATCAATAATTTAGTGTTATATATCAAAATCTAAGTTAGCCCTGCTTGCATGCAGTGGAGTTTATTTCAATTTAATGACTTTTATTCGTTTTTGAGTTATATTAAGACAAAGAGGTAAAGTTTTTTTTGGGACACCCGGTATATGGGCAGGTATGGTCTTCCAAACGTTGGGATCGGACAATTGTGCGATCACTATGTGTCGCATGGAATATATTAAAAACAGGGATAGATGCAGGACAGTAGGAGTGACAGTGTAAAATATAGACATGCAGTCATATATTTCATAAATTATAACTTGTGGGGGGTTTCTGGGGGTCCATTGTACTAACCTTCGCAAAACTTTCCATCTCCCTTTCCATCATTGATCATTGATATCTTTTGAGAAGTTAGTGTTCAGTTAACGCAAACGAAAGTAAACTGGCTAATAAAATTATGAGTTCGTAGGTACACCTAAATCACACGTAAATTCATTACTATTGTATACAAGTCTACAATATATGCATAATGACGGAACAGGTCAACGACTGACTGAAAGCTTAGCGCTTTTGAATATGTGCGAAGTTTACGTGCAAACTGACAATTATATATTATTAATTGTTTGCTATGCCAAATTGCAAGAATATTTTAACACATATTTAGTAAGATTAGTATAGTTCAGAATTTAAACGTGAATATGGCAAACTATAACTTAATGTGTTTTTCATAAATCATTCAACTACGAATATTGGTGTACAACATTTTAGTTATTGGACAGTCTGGACGTTAAATGCTTCACTGCCTTAGTTCGTCAAGATTTGCAGAAAAAAAATACCGAAAAGCTAGTGTTAGGTTGAGTGGACGTAGAAACTTTTTGATATGGCACTGAAACGATTAGAACTGATACGAATAGAAACACCTTTTAATTAAATCAAAGCACTTACGAAAAAGTAAGGAACTATAATAGTTTGATTCGTCATATTTTATACACTGTTACTGTGCTACTTGCAAAGTGATACAGTTAAGTCAAAGACGAACATAGTTTTAATATCTATGCTATGCATTTTCTTGCAATAATGAAAGCTGGCTTTACCAATTTTTGCACCAGCTTATGGTTCGATTCGGAATGCCTAGGTAACAAGCAATGTGCATTTGCATTCCAGCAAAATATTTTAATTTATGGCTTATGTTATACATTACTACATAATCTCACCTGAAAATGGTAAAAGTAGAATGGAAATCAAACCTAACAAAAACATTTTCTGCTTCATCTTGAAATTGTGCTCTTCACTTCACGATGTTTTCTCGTTCTTTGAACAGAACGAACACGGCCAGTCTAAACAGTTTCAGTGATTTCACCAAATTTGTCAATATCATGTTTGGGTGAGTCCTTGAGGTTGCGCAGGCAACGAACTTCAACGAAGTTCAACGAACAACATTTTAGTTGAATGAATAGAATTATTCTCGTTTTGTATAATCCTCCAGAGGGCGCGCGATATCCGATCATGTAATGTGATGCAAGCATGAATCTAGTAGGTCTAGTTTGCCGACTAATACTTAAGAGGCGTAACCTGTTTGATAAATACACTCTGAGAGGACTGGGCCAAAGAAGAAACGACTGTTTTAGAATATATCGCATCATATTATAGGAAAACTTATACGGAAGTCAAATTAAAAATGTTAAAAATTACAGATGAACCTCGGATGTCAAATTACAAATGTTAAATATTACGGATGATTCTAGACGAGCCGTATGCTCGTAGCTAATTCACGAGATTGTTAACTTAACCTCCGTTATATTGCTTAAATATTTTGCTTGAATACCTTCTTCAAGTTTTTATCCGATATCATTGCTGTAAGTGCTAAAAAGGTTGCAAAATGATGCTGCATAAGATCATGACGACCAAAATCACATTAAAATAACCACAGTTATGCTGCATGTGGTTAGGCGTATAGGCGTACGAGACAGAAGGGCAGTTGCCCCCCCAAAAATTTCGAGAATCAAGAAATTCGGACGAAGTTCAGCCGAAACTTCGGGCAAACTGAAAGCTAAATTACATAGCTAAAATTTTTAAAACCAAATTTTGTAATATATATAACATATTTGTATTCTATTTCGCTATTTTTGTTACACTTTCTTAAAACCACATCCGCCGCTTTGCCAAATCTATTGTTACAAATATGGTAAAAGTTATAATTCGGGCACATTGTAAAATTCAAAAATTCGGGCGATTTTTTTGCCCCCCCAAAAAAGTTGCGCCCGTACACCTATGCGTGATTGCCCAGCAAAACTAAGCTTTGTCAGTTTGTCCATTTTGTTAATCACAAAAGTGCCAATAAAAGTGCCAATAACTGTTTTTCCGAACAAGGCAATTTCACAAAAGGTGAGGTATTGACAATCCCCCTCTCGCTGTGGACCTGGTGTTTATATAAGTTAAAAATTAGGCCGGTCCAGTCCAGTGTAAACCTTCGAATTCAGTTGTAATAGTTCGCTGGGCACAGTCCTGGGGACTGATGGTTGCCTACAACTAGATGCATAGATTCACATGGCCGTAGCTAGACCGCATGTGTTCGAATACAGGGTGTCTCAAAAAAAACGCAAGCACTTAAATATCCAAGAATATTAATATTGTTCGGGTTTGCACCATAGTTCAGCTAAAATGACTTTTAGTATTTTAAATGAAGGATTAAGAGCCATTTTTAATTCCTCAGAGGTGCTTATCCATTGCGCTTTAGAGCTGTATTAATGTTCTCGCATATTTAAGTGCTTGCGTTTTTTTTTGAGACACCCTGTATAAATCAAATACTCAACAAGTAGCTACGAGTCAGAATGACAGGCTTAAAGATCATTCAATAAAGAGTGTCCCTTTTACAATTAACGAAAACGTTATAGTTTGGAACTTTAATTCTGATTTGCACAAATTAACTTGCACATGTTAGCCGGCCTACGTCGCGGGGAAGATCATATTCATATTTTTGTCTTGATTCCAGTCCAGACTAGCCGGTTTATTTCGTAAGCGATTGTTCCTATGGTATGCAAGTATGAATATATGAATGTAAAAAAAAACGCAATGAAAATTCGCTTTCTCACAGGGTGTCTCAAAAAAACGCAACACTTAAATATGCAAGAACATTAATACAGCTCTAAAGTGCACCTCTGGGAGTGCTAATTCCTATATCTAATCACTCATCTAAAGTGCTAAAAGTCATTTTAGCCGAACTATGGTGAAAACGTGAACAATATTAATATTCTTGCATATTTAAGTGGTTGCATTTTTTTTGAGACACCCTGTATTGTGTGCAAGGTCATCGTTTTACACATAGCTTATTTCAATCACCTATATGCATGCATATACACCCTTGGTCATATACACGTGACATATACACGTTTTTACTGTTATGCGTAGAATTAAATCAATATCCCGATATCACTTAAATCGTATATCAGCGGGTAAATCCTACCTGTTTTAACTTTGTATATATGATAAACAATCAACCACCTCCTAAGCATGTTTTGGGGTTTTATCATGCTTCGAAAGACATATATTAATCGGCTATTCTGCATGTTATCAATATCTTCAGCATTTTTTCGGGGAGATCATTTGAACCAATGTTTAGAATGATTTTATTCGCCTTTCTGCAAGGAACGGCCCAAGTGGTGCCACATGTCGTCTGATAATAACTGTGCATCTAAAAGAATGCAATGCCAGAATCACGAAGGACTCAGCAGAGTTTCTACAATTGAAGAAAATTTCCTTTCAAAATGAAAACCACGAGGGAGGGAGGGATCTGTGGTAATGATGTATTATGCATTCTTTTCAAAAGTTATTTGTCTCAGTATTTTGTCATCGCTATCCCCATGAAGATAATCGTATGCATATAAGTTGTGAAAAAGGTTTTTTCACACCCTACAACTAACAACCTCGGAATTTCCTGAGTAATCCAGCACTTTGTTCGCTTAGAATTCGCTGTTCACAACAGAGTTTAGTTCTAATTGTATTCCTTAAATACAACTACCGGGTGTATATAAAAACTGCAAATACCATCATTTGTATGCACGAGATCATAAATTAGAATTTCAATACCTAACGCTTCTGGGATTTGAAAATACGTTTCCACCTGCAGTACTATCAAAATAAGCACAATTTTAGACCGAGGTTGAGTTTGCTCGTATACGTTTAAAACAGGAAATTCTCTTAAGTTCTATTCGTAATCGAACTGAGCCATTCGTAATCGAACTCGTATATAAGTTTAATTCACTTTGTGTGCTTGTTTTCGTAACGCTGGGAAACTTTCTTTGATACACTCTGTATAACTAACCAGTTACTCCACATCAGTTTTGCGCATAGAGCAGAATTATTTGGATAGCAATCTTTCAAATCATTGTAAAAATTACTTAAGGCCCGTTTGCACTTTTAGGTGGGATTTTCTTCTTTTCGTAGATGTGAACGAGTGACTAGTTACGCCATGCTCTGATGTATAAGAGCTCTTATTTGAATATCCGTAACTAATTCACTCGTTGACATCTATCAAAAGAAGAAAATCGCAAGTGTAAACGGGCCTTTAAAGCGATTAAACTGCTGCTTAAATTCTAAGCGTCAGAAATTTTTGATTGTATAGGCTAATAAGGGAATTGTCGAGCTAAAATAGTTGAGATAATAAGTTAAATTATTATAATTAACCCCACTAGCAATTGAGGAAATATCAAATGGGAACAAGACCCTACTTTCTAAATTATTTCGTAATCATTTCAGTTTGCCTCATTCGATTCACGTTTTCTGAAAATGTTTAGATTATCAGACAGTCGCATGGATTATTTGTGCGGGTGGAGATCGATTAGAATATTTCACATCTATGACTACCGTTGCATATTATTCTGATGAGTAAAGAGTTTATTACAAAACGTTTTGGCTGCAAAAAACTAGCATTCATGCAGAGAAAAATAAAGATAGATGTCCTTCATCCCAAAATTTATCAATGTTCTCAAATTATCTCAATTTATCAAAGTTATCAATGTTCTCAGGAGTTCCGTAGTTCTTATTTAGCGCTCTTACGTGTGAGTCTCATGCTGATCACATACAGAAGTAATCCTCCATCTTCGATCTTTATCAACCGATTGCTGCAAACCCTGCACTGGTGACCAATTTTGAAGAGAAAAATTTTGGGATCAGAAGGCTATACAATCTCAGTTGCATTGGATTGTTTGTTTGTTTGCTTTTAAAAAAAAGTGTAATTTAATTGATCACAACGAACTTTGATTACTTTCAAGGGCCTCTATATGCTGTGAAACGGCACGGCTAAAATAGGCACCCGTGCCCATTTCATCTGTGCTTGGCCTTTGTTTTGGTAGCCTGAACACTACAAAAATTGGGTACGGGTACCAATTTTAGCCGTGCCATGCCAATAAATTGCGTCTAGACGGTGAAGTGTAAACGGGCCTCGGGAAAATTATGTTAATAGACAATATGGCGCCACTAATAGGTGGCAATTCATTTCGGCTTCTTTCAGAAAAATTATTTAAAAATTGTTGCCTACACGACA